GTTTTGTTTTAAACATCCGTCCGCCCGTACGTACGTCTGAACCATGCATTGGGTTTTTTCCAAATTGAAGAGGCCCGGTCCATCTGGCTCGAGTAGAAACTTTGAAATTTGAAAAACATTCTTCAAAATTTGGAGAAACTTTACATGAAGCCCTCCGGACGTTTTCAAAATTTTCTCAAAAACGGCCCATTTTTTTCTTTAAATTTCTTGTAAGAATATAGTAACATACGCTTATAAATGTGACACAGCTCCAATTTTAGCGGATAACTCTGAATTTTCGAAAATTTTCTCAAAAACGACTCAAAATTTTTTAAAAACATTTACAATGGATACTGCTAATTGCACTCTTTAATATGTCGTTAAGTTCATTCCGGGGTATTTTTTTGTTTTATCAAAAATTACAATAATGTAATTTTTTTAAGATTTCACACGCTGTTAATATGCACCCTTCCAGCGATTTGTTAACACTATTGCATTTATGAGTTAAAGTGCTTCAAATGATTTACAATGAAGTTTTTCAAAAACTTAATAGATCTCCATGAAAAAGAGCTTCTAACTTCGTATTTCCCGTACCGCTTAAATGCCGTTTTCTTAAAAAACGGCACCAAATTTTTCAATGAAAATTGCCATTTAGGACCAGGGTTTACTGTTTTTTAATATTCTTAAAACATTAATTCGGTTCTACTATTATGAAACACAAAAATGGAGAAATTTTCAAAAAATTTACTCTTGGCGTCGAAAGACGGCAGCTGGCAAGTGTATGTAGCAACACAAAATATCTAATCCAGAACAAAGGAAATAGAAAACTTTATTTGTTTTTCTGTGGAAGTAGTCGGTGTGATAAACGTCAGAATGGAAAAAAGGAAGATTATATCAAAGAAGATTTTAATTTTTTTCCTTGATGTTGACAGGTTTTGTTCGCCCATGAGAAATCCTATTCTACTTTTGACTATGTTCACCGATGTTTTTGCAGACAACTCTCTGTTATATGATATTCCCTTCTCAGTATTGGCGATAACACAAGTGCGAAGAACGAAAACTATAATTCCGTTTTCACTTATGGTATTTCAAGATTCAAAAAGGAGTTCAAACGAATAATAGCATTTTGAAGAGACGGCGTCGCTGGTAGAAGAAACTATTGTAGCGTCACGGCTTGGCAGCAGCAAGCCGAGTGCAAGGTAGAGGGCTGGGGGATCTAAAGATAGAACAAAGAAGGGACTTTCCGACAGGAAATGGTCCGCGGGCCAGGCAGCGCCAGGGAAAGGCTTTCCACCGCGCGGGGGTGGGGAGTAGTGACGTAGGAGGTCAGGTGACCTGGACCTATAAAGACGTGGCGAGACGGCGCGAGTGGGTAACGTTTTCTGGTTTCCTCGTGGCTAGTCCGCCTAAACTTTGTCCGCCCAGGCTGGTGCGGAGTGCCGAGGGCACGTGGTTGTTCGACGAGTTCGGACAGGGTGATGTGTTCTTCAAACACATTCGGGCAGATCGTCAATCTGCCGGGGCACACCAGGTGCCAATTTGCGACGCGGCCTTGCCGGCTGGTCGTAGGCGTCGCCGCAAGGCGCATGTAGGGAGAGGAGGGCTGCAGTAGTAGCTCTGGCAAACCGCCTTAGAGTGAGAGTTGTAAATATGTACAGTGTGTAAATAAAACTTGTATATACTCACTCGTGTCTGTTTCCTTGTGGTGTAGATCACTACACACGACGTTACACTATCGTACCGCGTGACATGGTGGAATCAACATTACAAAGAAAAGATCGTTTTCTTACGCGTTAAGTGATAATGTAAATTTTAGAGTTTGAATAATTTTAATTATTAATTTTTTAACAATTATTTTTACATGTTAGTTTTCATTGTTTACATGCCTTTTTGCACCCCTACTTCAGCTAGAATAAAAGCCTTTTTTAAATTCCTATTTTAGTAAAAATAAATGCCTGAATTTCCGGGCTTCAGTAATAAACCAGTATGTGAATGTGCACGTTGTAAGATCCCCTTTTTTGTTAATAAACACACATCGCTCCTGCGAGGCAATTTTATCAACATGTGTTTGTATGCTAATTAATCATACCCGAACCACCTAATTTCACTCACCCAGAGTTCTCTAGAGCCTCCGTCATTTTGGGCGAGGCCAACGAGCCTAACCCACCCCTATTTACTTGGTCACTGTGCCATTTTATAAATGTTACGTGAGACGTTCGCCCCATCACAAAATTGGGGTAGGGTATTTTGTTTAAAAAATATGAAGTCGGGTAATCGCACAAAATTGACGCCCAACGTCTGTTTTCTTGAGTATTTTGCATGGTATTTGATGTTCCATTTAATTTTTTTTATGGTTAATTGGTTTTTGTGTTTGATTTTTATTTCTGGGACTTTACATTTTGGCGCGTCAAGGCATGTACAATACGGTCTAACTGGAATTGATAAAATTATTTTATTTATTTTTGTGTGATTTTGATGTTACAATTGATATTGTTTTAATTGTTTAATTTTATTAGTGTAATTGTTACTTTGATGTTTGTTTCTCGGTGTAATCCTAAAACTTTGTAGTTTTTAATTTTTTGTTGATAGTACTATTTCGTGTTAATATTTTTTTTTTATTTTTCGCGCTGGAAGCATAACGTAATGAGACACGAAACGTCTATAATTGCATACAACGTGAAAATGACAGGCATAAGAACGGCGAGATCGCTCAGGTTCATAACCCCATCTTTGGCGAGGTGCAAGTAGACGGCACTGTTGCTGAAGTGCCATTACCTGCTTCTCCCGCTGGTGAAAAATCTTTTGGAATGAATTGAAATTTCAATTTGGTGAACAATCTCACTATTCAACCGAATTTCGTCGGGAATGGACATGACAAAACTTCATGAACAACGCCTTGTTTTTAATCAGCTGAGAAGCGAAATTAATCAAGGTTTGAACCAGTTGATGAACAATTTGATAAACAAAATACAAATATCACTTGAAGTACCCATAAACCGAAATTCGGCAGAAATTCCTCGAGCTAAAAAACAGTTATCATCCGAAATTCAGACATTTAAAATCGTCCAAACCAACACTAACAAAACTCGAGAAAAAGTTATGTAAACAAATAGATGAAACTGATAACAAAGGTGTAACGTTCCCCCGTGCAGACACAACGTACATTCAGAGAGACTAGGGAAAGCTCTGAAAATATCCACAATGTATTATGTGCAAAACGAGAAGGCGATAGACAATATGATATAGGGATTGAATGACAATGTTCGAAAGAAATGTGCTTTCAAAATGGGAGCGTCAAAAAACGTGCTTTCAAGATGGGAGCGTCAAAGAGAGAAAGCTATTGGAAATGGGAATGTAAAATAGCGGAGAATAGTTTCGGCAATACCGCCAAACTAAGTTGTTGTTGTTGTTGTTGTTGTTGTTGTTGTTGTTGTTGTTGTTGTTGTTTTGGGGGGGGGGAAAAGCAGCCTCCCTCATTTCTACGAAACAAAAATTACTTCACTTTCACTAGGCCCATCTAAGGCAGGCGGGGGTGGAAGAAGGACAGACGGGGCGAGGCGGGGCAGCTCAGACTGATAAAAAAATCCATCATCTTATCAGAGGACGAATTGCATTGCAATTGCCTAGAGAATGTGGAGGGCAGATTTTAATTCAATAACAATTTAACCTTGAATTCAGATAAGTTTTGATTTTATTGAACTGAGGTAAAATATTACTTGTGCGACAGTCAGCTAAATGTCAAATATATTTTATTCATTTTTAGGATTATCTACTATTTTACTTCAATACAAAGGTTAATTCTTAAAACATACGATAAAAATACAAATGGCAAAAAAATATTTATTTGTTCATACAAATGGGAGAAAGGTTTTCATTCAAAAACACAATGAAAATAAGATATAGTGAAAAAATGAAATAAAGTATTAGGCCTCTTGTTGTACAAATGGATTTGGTATGCTTTCCATTCCATCTACTGGGCAAATAAGAACAACAGATGTCCCTCTGCAAACAACCAATCCCAACATCCGTGTATCTTCTGTTAGTTTGTAAGGGTCATCTGGATCTAAACAAAAAGGAATAATTCAGGTCTTCGTCAGGTCACTGCAAGGTGAAACAACATGATAAACAAATAAATAATGAAAACCATTTCTTTCATTTACCTCTGAGAATTTCGGATGTATTATCCAAGACAAGATTGAGTAAAGGATCATATCCTTTGAGAATACCCGCTGCTTCTCGCCCTCCAGCAAATTTCACTCTAATATTCTTTTCCAGATATTTAGAAAGATCTAGGATACTTTCTTTCCTCTTTTTTTCTTTCTGATCACCTTGACTCTGAGCCTGCATAAAGAAAAAATCCTTAAGGACATTCACATAAAAACTTAAGGACTTCATTCACATAAAAATAGTACTTTCACATGCTTTAAAATCTGTAAATTAGAATGAAATTGATTAACAGTTACTTTTCATATAAGGAACACAAGTCCAGTGGTAAGTAGTATAAGGGGTAACACCAAGTCACGAATAATGCTTATTCCAAATTTTCTACAATGAAAAATCACACACAACAGTACCTCCATTTTGGTGGAGGGTGGATAGTCAGGGGGGGGGGGGATGTTAATTAAAATCATTATTCTTTATGGTTCAAGTGTGTTAATTAAATGTATATTACGGGCTGTGTAAAAAAATATTGAATATAATTTTCAATAAGCATATCAAGTAAGTCACATTGATTGGGCACATATAGTAGACATAGATACATAGACTACTACTTGGGCAAATGTTATAATATTATTTCTACTTTTTTTTCTCATTTGGCAATTGGATTTATCCGCTTTTCTTTTACTAAGGCCCTGTAATAAGAGTTGTTCTGCCGAAATTCGCCGTTTTTTCATGAGCATTACATAACTTTCTACATCGCATGCGGTAGCGAAAAGTAAAAATTAAAGTTGCACAATATTTATGATAGATATTTGCTACCTGAAATCTTTAAATTTTCTTTTTTTTAAAAAAGATTAAATTTTAAAAAATTACAAAAGTCTCACATTGTCATAATCATATTAATTTCCAGTCATTTTGAACTAATCTTCTTTACTTTACAGTAATTAATAATATATTATAAATAAACACAATCTGTATTCTATATAATTTTGAACATTACTTTAATACCTTTCAAACTTATTTTAATGAAAATAAACACCTCTTGACATCAGAACCTAAATATGCTAGTAAAGGTCTTGTATAGGTTTATTTGTACTACTGAGAGAAAAGCTAAATAGTGCTACAAAATGGCACAGATGTTCTTGTACTACTTAGTTTCATTATTCATCAATCAGTGCTATCATTTCAGTTTTACCCCCGTCTTTTCAGCTCCCATACATTGGTGCCTTAAAGTAATTTACGCACGTTTTCTCAACTTTTCAGATCACTAAGTAAAATTGGATTTGACTTTAAACGTATGATAGTAGAAGGGTAAAATCTGTCCAATATGTACATTCTTACTGAAAAATTTGGAGCCATTTTTAAGAAAACGTTTCAGCATTTAGAAGCTCATTTTGACAAAAACCTTTTGAGTGTCCGAGAAATTTCATTAGAAATCCAATGTCCCATGGATTTCTGTTTCAATTGATAAGGAGTTGTTCGATCTGGCAAGTAGCGAGTTTCGCATATATCTTTTTCTTTGAATTTCTGATAGTGAGAACTACTATTGTGGCTGAGATTTGTGGTTTTAGAGGACAATAGATTGCTAGTTTTGAAGTAAACTTGATTAGGAGTCATGGTTAAGGAAAGTAACATTATACCAAAGAAGAAGGGGGACTCGAGTTCATGCTGAAACATTGTGAACTGAAAAACATTTAAATTCTAAAACTGACAAAGGATTCACCTCAAAATGTGGGAAGAATAAAGAGAAGACATAATTTAAGGTTGAGTGAAAATTCCACAAATTGTCACAGCTGCAAACGACCTAGAAAATCTTAACAACAACAAGACTTCATTTTTAAAAAAATTCTCGTGTTAAAAAAATAGAAAAGCAACAAAAAAGGATCTACAAGTCATGTTACCAGATCTTGAATGTAAAATAAGTACACATACATTATGACGATGTATACAAAAATGAATGTCAGAACTTGTGAAAGTGCCAGTGAAAGAGGCAAAGTTGCCCACTGTATTAACGACGCACGAGATGTAACTGGTGGTGGTAGAAATGGCACAGACTTTCTCGTACTAGTAAGTTTTCTAATTTCTTTTGGTCTGAGCTAGTTATTTGGACTTGCCACATACTCTTACGAGCTACCATCTATCGCCGCCCAAAGTACATATTAAAAAATTCAATTTTTCGTTTACCAATAGTAGGATCGAAATATTACTTTAAAAATATTAAAGAAAGCACTTTGTACTAAGTGGCAATTTGCATTGAAAAATTTGGAGTCGTTCATAAGAAAATGGCGTTTAAGCTCTAGTGTAAAGCCTAGTCTAATTAAGCTTGAGGGAAATTTGAAGCTCTATTTTCACAGAAACTTTTTGAGCTATCTGAAGCATTTCCACCCACAAATGCAGTAATGTATACAAATTGTAATGTATCTGTACGAAAAGTTTTGATGTCAAGAGATAGCTACATTAGAAAGTCTTGATGTCAAGAGATAGCTTCATTTGAAAATAAGTATGAATGGTATCAGAGTAGTATTCAAAATTACATATTACTCAGCTTTATGTGTATTTATAATAAAATATTATTAATAATTGTAACGCAGAGTAGATTTGAGTTCTAAATGGCTGAAAAAATTACACGATTTCTCCTTCTCACAACTTCTCCTCCTATGTAGAAAGGATGCATTTCTTGCATAAATTTATAATATTTTAAAACCTACTTTGAGTTAAATCTCAATGTTGAAATTTATATTGCAGTTTATTATTATAGTGATCTTTTACATGTGCAAATTACACACATTTATTTAGTCCTACAGTAGAGATATTACAGTTAAAAATTTAGAAAAAAACAACAACAAAATTCCAATTTTTAGGGGTATGTAATTTTTAAGAGGTAACCACGGATATTTTACATAAAGTAACTACACTTAAGTTTAAAAGCACAAACACTGTGACTGTATTCTTTCTTTAACAACTTACTCTCTGAAAATCGAAAGCATTTCATTAGCAATCAATAGTTTAGGTAGCAAATATTATCCAAATAAAAACATCTTAGGTGAAAAAACGTCACTGATTTGTAGGCCAGTCTACTAACGCCAATGCATTTTAGTTTATAAAGCTACAACTTGGCGCTATGAAATTTACAAAACTGTAAATGCCTATAAACATGATAAATGATTGCCATTGTGAATTCTGTTCACTTTTTTTTTTTTTTTTTTTTTAATGTTTTGAACTACCAAAACATAAGGGAATTTATAAAGAAAATATGAATTTTTTCCAAGATTTATACTCTTTCAATTTAATTCTGGACTACTGAAAATGGAATGACCCTTATATGTGATCTACTCTAAAAGTTATCTTAATTCCAATCTTTCTGAACAGCAAACTTTTGCAGAAATTGTTTTGAAGGAGCCAAGAGCCCTTGGGGTCTAACTCCAATGATGCTCAATTATTCACTTATTCCCAGGCAATTTATCACTGAAGGCTTTTGACATTAAAGGCAACTAGAACTGCAAAATACTCAAAATTTAACAGTGAAAATCCAATCAATAACAACTTTTCATTGGAGGGCATACAATTCAAAGAAACTTCAATATTTATATTCCTGCTAAGATATTAAAGCTGTCAAAACTCACAATTTGTTTAGAATTTTAATATAGATGAACAGTCAGAGCTACGAATTTTATAACTATCTATGCGACTAATTATGGCTTCCGGCATTTGCACTGATATCCGTTTCCCTTCTGTTTACGGATGCCTTGCAGTGGGAGATATTGGACCAGCTGCAGAGATAAGTGGAAGTGTTCTTACATGTTCTACTCTCCACCAATTCAAAACTGGCTACACCAACTCCATAGGTGTGTTTTTTCTTTCTCTTGCAATATTTTTCAAATGTATATTGACGCTGTACATTCAACCCTAGTCTTTCATACACCATTGATAGATTCTTTGTGGGATACCAATATGAGAAGTAAAATTATGTGGTCTCAATAGTAATTGCAATTACTATTACACTCTCAGGCTAATACCTGATAAATTTGAAAATGCATCAGATATGTATTTTATTACAATCCCAAAACTTGTCTGCATACAAAAATAATATGGAATGTTACTACACTAACTATAGCAAGTTGCCTAATTTGGACAGTTTGACATTTCACAATGAACTTAATTAATTTCTGGTGGGAATGTCGTGAATCGGAATTGTACACATATAGCCTTCATTTCCTGAGAACATCCATCCAACTCCCTGTGATCAAAAGTTCAAGATATAATAGAGCACATTAATTTCTTACTGGTTTAGCAATTGCATACATACATCTACCGCTGCCACAGCACTATGCAAAAATTAGAATTTCACAAGAACATAGACATTTGCAAATATTCTGCACCTAATGGTGGATTTCGTTACCCATTTCAATAAATCGTTTTACTTTCAAGGTCCTAGACACTGTCATATTGCACTATCCTGAAAAACATGTTTGAATCCTTTTGTGACTGTTTTTTCTGTTTATAATTATTATTGTTATTAAATTCAATTTTTAAAATTACGAAATCAAAGATTTAAAAGAATGTACATTTCAGATGTTTTATAATTTAATTCAAAAGAATTTGTATTTATATTAGAATTCGTAGCACAATTTATTACTTACGAAGATTAATAATAAATATAATTGAAACTTTTTTAAAAAGAGTGTTTTGTAAAATGAAGGGATATCCAAAGGATTCAAAACTAATATATAACTTTCATAATTAATATTGCATCCTTCAAAGTTACTGATTTTTTGCACATTTTCGAATTTTGTTTACAGAATATTACAATGTTTAAAATCAACACAAAATGCATTGGTTGTCATAGTGTTTCAATGGTAATAGGCAGAAAAATGGCTTTTTGTTTATGTTGAATCTGATAGAATCTTATTTTTTGTGTAATTTTCACAGAAGAACCAATTAACTTGTTGGAGATATAGATCCTTTCAATCTTGAAACAAGGGTTGGTAAATTTGTGTTTATTGTAGTAGACACATTGTATAATAACCTTGTGTAGGCAAAGATATCAAAATATCTGGTAGCCTCCTTCCATTTATCTAAAGAAGTTTTCCAATACAGAATGCATCTCATTTTATTATGAAGTTTCAAACAATACTGAAGGAGTTTGTAGTCACAAATAAATTGTCAAATGCAACACTTCAATCAGAAGTATGCAAGTAGTTCTCAACATATCTTGCTTAATCTACAATAATCTTATTTTAACCCCAAAAGCAGTATTTTACTACTTAATTTAATTCCACCAGAAAGTGTAGAACTATGTTATTTGTTCCTTCATTTTTAATACACATTTAAAACAATATCAGTTAGATCTGGTACATTTTTCTACATTATCTGGTACCTGTAAATTAACTCCATGAGCAGTTCCAGGTCACAATCACAAAACTGGTACTACTGGCACTTACCAGACTTCTTCGAAACTTGCATAAGTTTTTAATCGAAGTTGCGTAAATTTCAGAAGAAACTTGCATAAGAAATTTTAAAAAAGGCTAATAATCGGTATTTTTAAAATGATAATTATCATAACACATGTATATAGTTCCATGCTTTTCAGATGATCGAAATTACCTAAATCTACTTTCTTTAAAATACATATCACAAAGAACTGCACTTTGAAACATATATACTCATTGGAAAACTGTTTAAAAATGTCAAAACTTTCATAGGAATTTTGTCCATTATGCATCATGAAACTTTTATCGCATTTATTCAACAAAAACGTTTTGGAAAATAAATTTGGGAATTTTCAGACAGTTATTACATGTTGCAGAATGTATATGAGAATTCACAATATCACATCTACATTCACAGAACCTTTTTCGTTTATGACCCAGTTGACCCTACGGAATATGTAGAATTGCAACGAATAAAGTGACAATCCATTTGTGATTTTCCCTAAATAAAGATATGAAAAATGTGAAATAACTGATGGGAACAAAGCATTTTTTCCAATCTTATTTTTTAATGTTAGTTATAAAAATGACCATGGGTGTGAAAATGTAGTACTTCTAAACATTTTTTTATTCAAGTGTAAATCGCAAGATGTATAAATATAATACATTTTCAAAGGAAGTTGTAGCCTAAAATTGTTGATATCTAAGTATGCCCACAAATTTCAAAATGCAACTTTCTATAATGTATTTTCAACAAAAAATGTTTGAAACCACTGATTGCCTGAATTATGTATAATGATTACATCATATAAATCAATCCGTTTTCTGACGTACGTTATTTCGGTACACAATATAATTATCTTGCCAAACAATGACACACTCTCTAATAGCTCTAACATTAAATGTATATATCTGAAGGGAATGATTCTACATTCCTTAAAAATACATCTTCCTTGCTTATTGCAAGATTAGCATGTGCAGGTAGCAATTCTATTAACTTCCAAAAACGATCATGTACGCCAATAGCGTAATGCAATGCAAATTAATTCATACAATAAAAACGAAAACTTACTGAAGTCATATTGAATTAACCCGAAGATTCATGAAAGGTCTGAAAAATAAAAAAATAAAATGTATTAAATTCCACTTACGGTCAAAATTTAACTTAAAACTCTCAACATTTGCAAATACCTCTCAACAGTTTTATTCTTCTCACTAGGATATACGTTTGGAAACTACGTGACGACGAAATTCACGAGGCTTTACTCACGCAAAGCTCCACACTCGTCTCCTCTCACAGTGTAGTGTAATACTCCAGGTATATACAAGCCATGGACGCAAACCGTTGTCCACTCGCGACCGAATGAGCGTCAACTGCAACGTTACATATTATACTACGATATTACAAAATAAGCAACTATTTCTCTTTTTCTTCTCGTATTCTTTATTCATTCAATATGACTGTAGAGTAACAATTATTAAATTGAAACAATTAAATTCGAGATCGCAAAGATAGTTTTAAAACCGTGCCGTAATTAACAAAGCGACTACAATCATTCCGAACCAATATATTGTCAAATAGCTAATATAGCAATGCCCAATCCAATTTAACTATGTGATGTTCAATATTTCGCCACCGCAAACTTGGCACTTCATTATGGCGTATTCTATCTTTTGTTAAGAACTAATGATAAAAACGTCGAGCTAATTGTGTTAGCATTAATTTAATTGCAACTTATTAGTAACACAATCATTGTCAGTATCAATACTAATGTCCCTCTTTTTTTTATTTGTGGAAAGTTTACAAGTTTTTGTTAATCAAATTATTAATCAACTAATTCACCATAACAAATGATTCCAACACATGCTTGTATGTTGACCCTCATGAAATATTAAAGAAGGAACTACACTAAAAACATTTTCAGTTTGATAATGCATTAGGAAAATAAAATCCCATTTAATTCGACTCATTCCAAAAGTCAGACCATTAAACCTTCCCTATCGCTAAAAATTAATTTGTACTTTTAATCACCAAGCGATAACAATGCTAAAATGAACAGAGGAGGAAGTATAGCAATTTTAAGTTTATAAATTATAACCCAAAATTAAATCGACATTTATGGGGACTTTGTGGACAAATTATAATCACACAATATAATAGGAAATTTCAAAAAATGGAACTTTAAACTAATATGCATAAAAGAAATTAACTACATGGAACTCTAGGTAAATAATTCTGAGAAAAACAAAAAGACATTATGGCATAAGTTTTGTTTCCATACTTTTAATCTCATGGGTTCATATTAATTTTATTTGTTGTAGTTTAACATTTAAAAACAATTACAAAACAAACTTATTATTCGCGAAAGGAATGCTTTGAAGCTATTGCTAAAACTCAATTATGAACAATAAATTCAGCACTTTCCATTAAGTTTTGAGTAATGTTTCTTATGGTTAAAAACCAATAAACAACAATTATTTCTGACTTGAATGTTGAATTTTAAATTCAACATACTGTCATTTTTCAAACATTTGTTTCTCACCATTCTTACACACAACATACCAGCAACTGGCCCCTTTAATGAAAAACTCAATATTGCAGTTATGGAAGTAACATGTACAACAGGAAAATATGTTTAAAGAATTTTATAGTTTATGGAAGATACAATGTCTCTTACTCAGATTATATGGCAATTTATACTGTGCCAAAAGATTAATGTATTTTACCATACATTATTATATACTCACAGAATATGTAATTATAATTTAACAACTTCACTTTATTTTCTTGATAGGGATAAGGCTGAAGGAAAGCACAGCCACAGCAGAAATTCACATGCAATGATGCAGCAACTATTTAATAACTACACATTCTGTACAGTAATATCGTATAAATCTCTGTCAATACATTGTTTTTAATGCTTGTGTACACAAGTTTAAATAATGTTGATAAAATATTAAAAATAAAACCACATTCTTACAATGAAGTGTTTATTTCAGACTCCATTAAAGAAAGCTAAAGTTTATTCATCATTTTCCATAGTCCTCAAAACTTCCGCACTCTTATCACAGTCTTCAGCATTCAACTCTTCCTCATGCAAGGACTGCTTTGAACTTGACTCTTCATTCAATGGTGCATCACTCTGGCCACGCTGATCTTCAACACTTCGTTCTTCATCAGTAGTTGAACAACCAACACTATCACTCTCCGAGTGACTACTGCAACTACACGAGGTTTCAGAGTCTGTGCATCTACAGGATGGTGTACTATCACTCTCAGAGTCAACAGAGGATTCAGTGTGGACTGATTTCTCCTTCAGATAAGAACACCTCAATCTGTCATTCTCCCTCCTTAGTTGCTCATTCTCCATATAAAGTTTATCCATTTCTTGTTTAAGTGTTGACATTTTCTGTGTTGTATTACCACCCCCATCCTTAATTTCTTCATTTCCTGATTCCCCTTTATCACAGTCAGAAATGCTAGATTCGCCCTTCACATCAGCACTAGCTTTTTTCAATCTTTTCTCCAAAATGTCAACTTTAGCTTCCAATTGAAGATATTCTTGTATCAGCTGCGCCTTGGGCATTGAATTCAGTCTCTCTGCATGCAAGTCCTCGTATGTATTCGAAAATTCTTTGGAAAGAAAGTCACCTTCATCTTCTGGTGATGAATAGAAATAATCTTCATCAGAATCCACACTTAAACTCGAGTCTCGCGCACGAGATGGTCTTTGCAAAACGGGAACACTGGATCCATCAGCGTTGGTTGTCACCGCTTGCAATTTTACGTCCAAATTCTGGAGATCATTATGATCTTCCATTAAGAATTGTGTGGTATTATAAGGCGCAACAGGCTGTCCGCCCGCAAACAACTTAGCTCGAACGTTGTTAACACGTTTACCACTTTCTCTCTCTTCTGGCTCACTACGATCCTGCCAAGATCTTGAATATGGTTTGAGCCGCCGCCTTTTTGACTTCCCTCTTTTTCTCCGCTTTCGGAAACGCATGCCATCCGAACTCCCACTCTTGCTCTTCGAGACGTCATCTAGGACTCCAGCACTACTCTGAAGCTTGCAACGACTCGGAGTTGGTCGCTTGACGTCACTTGGTTCAGAAAAGGAAACTGAATTTTCTGGAACATGAACTGAAACCACTGTCTCAGACATATTAAACCACCTTAGCTACCACGGACGTGCACACATATACGGTCAACTTCTTTCTCACGAGCACCTTCCCGTCCCAACTCTCCTAGACAACTGAATTCCGTACACAACTGTTTCTGTTGATATTCGTACATGATTTGAAAAATATAGACTCTTTGACAAAAACCAAAGAGTATTTATATCACATAATCTACATCAACTTACAAAATATAGACTGCACAAAACGCTAGTCTTCATGCTCAACAAAACTATTGCGAAAAATGTATTATAAAGAGGAAATAGATAATTAATAACTAATATAAAAGCTTAAAAATTAATTTCTTCACAGTGCAGATTTCTTAGAAGCTCTAAGATTGTTCACATATTTGTAATTACCCTGTGAACCAAAGTATAAGAAGTCTAAATCAATGTGAACGATAGTACCTAAAGACCGACCAGAGCAGGACCAGAAAGTATAGAAAATCCGACTTCCGTCAATTGCGTTTTAGGCACTGATCGCTATTAAATTCATATATATATTTTATTGATGCAATACAACTATGATAGAAGGAGGTCAATGGTTTCGGACGCGCAAGTGTCGCATGCCGCGGTCACAATGCAAAATATATTTTTTTACACCGTGACCCGGTACAGTGTGACCTGAACGTGACCGTAATTAAGACCATGGTTTATGAAATATGTTTTGATTACATTACAAGGATTAATGATGAAAATTGTTGTTCTGGGGATTAGTCCTCGAGTCGAAAAAAACAAATAAAATTCTAATCTTCAACTAAGCGAATGTGTGTTAATGGTTAGAGTAATCCAACGTGTAAGCAATCCTCTTTCCGTGCCACGGAAATTGAACGATTTTACGTTAGCCTAATGGGAACGGTTTATTGAATAATTTTGGAAAAGATAATTATACCGCCTTCTACCCTACAATAAAAATCTTGAATTTGCGGTTGTTCCAAATAAATTAATCTTTATAAGGCTGAGAATTTTTTAGGTAGAATGTCAGGAAACACTAATTCAGCTGGAATAAAATCTTCCCTTAACCTGTAACGTCACATCAATTGACGATATTGGAAAAGTACAGAAGGATAAGGAAGATAACTTGATGTCAATTTAATAAAACCTTTTAATTTATCTGGAAATTGAAGATTACCTTGCTTATAGTGTTGTCTAAGATGAAATAAAACTGCTTGAAGGTAAAGAGAAATAACCTAGGAATATGAGAATGAGACATTGGCATGACAGTTATTGGTCGTAAACGGAATAATAAATAAATTCGTACGACTCAAGTACAAATTAGAGAAAAAATATTGAATAATTATGTAGAATAATACAGACTTAAGTTTCTGTGATGTCTTGCTATTTGTTTCCAATGTGAGAATGAAACAATATGTTGACATTAATTCTTGTTAACTGGTATGAGTTCTGGCTGTGACAACTAATTTCATCAGACAAATGTTATCAGTGGATGAAATGTAATAATCAGAGGGGGGGCTTATTGTCCAGCCAAGTTGATGTTTTCTTATAATGAATTTTTCTTTTATGCTGAATATAAAATGTATGTGATTAGTTGCCTTATAATTAGTAGTATTTATAACATAAACAATTAACTTCTGATAGTATAAAATATTAGTAAAAGCTATATGTACTAATATGTTTTATCAGCCTTGGCCAGGGGCAGCTGAAGTCCCATGAGCTTCCTCTCCTCTTGGGTGTGCCAATGGTAATAGTCAGTACATACATTCTTGTAATGTTAAGAAATATTAATGAATATTAATGGGGATTCATCCAAACCCCTCCCAAAGTCCATGTTCCATATTCAAATGCACTATAGCTTTTATTAATTTTCTTACTCATGAAAGTCTTTCAGTATATCCATTGTTAACAATATAAATATTAACAATAAGTTAACAAATAAAAATAGGTTTTATATTCAGCATTCATGAAAAATTCTTTAAAAAAAATTACAAGTCAGCTGCATATTATACCTGTAACCCCATCCCCTCCCCCCAACCTAAAACACCTAAAATATCTCTGCCTCTTCCAATGCCTATACGACATAGAACAATGTTTGGCATGTTCATCAATGTTTTTTCAAATTTATTATTTAGTAGTGAGCCCATTAAAATATTCCTTTTTAATTCATTTAGAATTTGGAATAATTTTCCACATTATTCCAAAAAAAAGTCAATATAGAATTTCCAGTTACGTTACTTGCCTGAATGAACTGCAAGGCTATTGATTCATAAACAATTCTGAGAAACAATATTTTTTAAGTGGCACAGAAAAGAAGCATTTTGGTTTCATCATCATGTCATTTTAATAATGGTGTACCATAGAAATAAAGTAACAAACCAATGTTTGCACATCATCATCAATTCAGGGTGTAAACCTTTGGTGATATTTTTGTCTTTGTGGTTTGATCCCACCACCTTTGATAGAGCTTTCTACATTTTCCCTATCATGCTCATGATATTTTAACATTGTCTTAGAGGGTCTGTCCTCAGTCATTCTCTCAAGATGTTTTTTCTTCTTATATGCATCTTTGCAGAACATGGACTTGTAAATAATGAACCAGAAGTAAATAAATTAGAAAATTACTCTTTATTAACACTTCTGTTAAATATTTAATAAAAATTATCATACATATATATACACACATATCATACATATAAATACATATAAAAAAATATTAACAAGATGAAGGAATTACAAACCAGTAACCCTCACATCACATTAATAAGGTTCAGTTACTTTTTGGAAGCTAATAACATGTTTTCAGGTTTTCTTACTTTGAATTCATTCACAAAGTTCTTGTAATTTTGGAAGCAAGAAGGAAAGCAGCAGGTATGTTCACTGACCACTCATAGCGAAGTGTCTCACAAAATATTGCTAAACAAAGCAAGATTTTTTGGAATAAAGAGTCGAGGTAATGACCTCGTAATATCACACCTCATGGGAAATAAATAATAGGGACTATACAAAAAGTTTTTGGCATTCTGAAAATACTTTATTAATAATTAAATCAAATTTTTACAGTTACTACAGGATTGGCACAAGGATAAATGTTAGGACCATTACTATTTCTTATAAATGGTAATGATTTTGAAAGTTCATCTGGTTTCTCTCTAATATTTTAAGCAGACGATACAATTTCAATAAGTTGTCCAGCTTAAGACATCTAGAAACATGTCTGACAGAATCTGTAAATGAACTAAAAAGCTGCTTGTCATTGAATTAAAATTAAATGTTTACAAAACTGTGTTAATCAACTTCTTCATTAATACTCTCAACAGAACATTAAAAAAGTTGATAATGAGGTTGTGAATCATTGTGATAAGTTTGGGGGAATATTCATTGATCAAAATCTAACTCACAATAAATATATAAATTCTCTTTGTAATAAAATAAACTCCAGTGTATTCCTTTTAAGATACTTTCCCAGATACCAAAAACCAGAACATGTTTATCAATCTAATATGGCATAGTCCACTCTCTTGTATAGTATGGTATTGTAATATGGGGAGGAGGGGGCCTAAAACACAAAAAATATTGATAGATTAATGATCGTACAAAAGAAGTATCTTAGAAGCATATTTTAAAACTAAATCGAGACCGTGTTGTAAAGATTTTTATGTGAAGTGTGAAATACTGATCTTTGTAACACTCTAGGTTTACAGATTATTAAGAATTAATTATAATCAATATTTGATGAGTAACAAAGTTGTATATAGCTATCATACTCTGAACATGGGGACCTCACAGGGTATAGGTATTCAATATGATAATTAATTAAATGTTTATTATAAGTTGTTACAATTTTATATTTTTAATATTTAACTGATACTATAAGCTACTTTAATTATTACTGTAAGATAATGTAATAGTTTACTTACTATAATTGCACAATGTTTTATGATCAAACTGATTGTGCTTGATACTTGTATAAGTTTGTAAGCAATAAATTATTATTATTATTATTATTATTATTATTATTATTATTATTATTATTATTATTATTATTTTTATTATTATTATTCCCTCAATGATTACTCAAGGGAAAGGGAATTTTACTATTATACCTTAGGTGGTCCTCGTAACAGAAGTCGCGTGCATTCAAACTGTTGGGGTAAGCAAATACGAGAAGTTAATGAATTTTGAGAATTAAAATTACAATGAAACGTATGTCACATGATCAAAAATTTTGCACTCACTGTACGCTCTACTGCGATCTTTCCTGCTCTAAGCCCAGCTCTGAAATCGCTGGGGAAGAGCCGCGCATCTAATGCAATGGGCCTTTGGCAGGCGGCGTTCGGGGGGAAGCTGTAGCAGATAATGCATTGAACTCGGCTAGCTGGGGGTGGGTGACGTTTCTTCCCCTCCCACTGCTTCAAGGTCAGGCCTCGCCTGGCTCACCCTGCCTACAAATGTGATTACTCGTAAGCCAGTGCTATCACAATGCAAAATAATTTTAATAAAAATTGCGGTCCCGTTTGTTGAGAAAATTATAAGTTATAAAATGGTTGTGAAGCACATATTACTCTCTCATTCTAATGACCGTGAACCAAAATGTTCAGTAAACATTTTATTAATGTTTTTGAGGAAAGAAGTTCTGACGCACATGTGATCAGATCCCTGGAACCCCGATTTTTTTAATAACAAAGCGTATTTTTCTTATAGAATCAGTGAGCATGGGAGAGCCCAGGCAGGACAGAGCGTGACGCAGTGGTGATCTATTGTAGTGTTTGTGACGTATTGTCGGGTTTACTCGTAATTTCGCGAGGATTTGTAGTAACTTTGAGGAAGTGTAGTACTAAATGCTTGGTCTAATCTAACGGGTATTCAGGTTTGTTTTGAGTAGTATGCTTCCCAGTGCGTGTATTGAGGATATTTTTAGACCATTTCAACGAGGCTGTTACTCGAGAAGAAGCAAGTAATTGAAAACGATAGGCGAATTCCAGCCTTGCACAATTACAGCAGTTAACAACAAACTGGGGTTCAGGGGTGGGTGGGGGAAATTGGTTGGCTGCTAGCAGCTGGGGTATACAAAATAACCACCCCACGCCCCAGAGTAACCGAGACGTTTAAGACGGGTGTAGCACAAGGATAGACTGTGGAACCTGATATAAGGAATGTCAATAATAATGACATAATGCAGATGAAAA